AAGTCGGAAGTAATGGATTTTTTCTTTTTTTTAGTCAAAGTCTCACTCTGTCACCCCGGCTGGATGGAGTGAAGTGGCATGCTCATGGCTACCACAGCCTGGACCAGCTGGGCTCAGGCAATCCTCCTGCCTCAGCATTCCAAGTAGCTGAAACTGCAGGCATGTGCCACCATGCCCGGCTAATTTTTTTTTTATATATTGAAGAGACGATGTCTCACCAAGTTGCCCGGACTGTTTTTGAACTCTTGGACTCAGGTAATTCTCTCACCTCTGCCTTAATAGACATTTTAAGAAGCTGTATTCCATTTAGAAATTTAAGGATCCAGCAAGGCAAGGTGGCTCATGCCTGTAATCCCAGATCTCTGAGAAGCTGAGATGGGAGGATCCCTTGAGGCCAGGAATTTAAGACCATCCTGGGCAGTATGGTGAGAACTTGTCTCTACCAAAAAAAAAAAAAAAAGTATATATATATATATCTCATCCAGGTGTGGTAGTACACATCTGTAGTCCCGTAGTCCCAGCTACTTGGGAGACTGAGGCAGAGAATTGCTTGAGCCCAGTAATTTAAGGCTGCAGTAAGCTATGATTGTGCCACTGCAATTGGTGACAGAGTGAGACCCTGTTTCAAAAGAAGGAAGGGAGGAAGAGAGAAGAGAAAGGGGGAAAGGAGGAGGGAAAGGGAGGGAAGGAGTGAGGGAAGGAGGAAGAGAGGAAGGAAGGAAATGTAAGGATCTGAAGAGTATGGTTAGGATTCCATGGAATCATGGGGTTTCATTCAAGTGGAGTTAAATGTCCTTGCTCCTATGAAATTATTTATACTTTCAACTTTAAATCTGGGTGAGCAATGTTTCTAAATATGTTTTTCTTTTTTTTTCTCTCTTTAAAGTGAACTCTTGTCTCTCTCCTGTAGCTGTGCACTTGATTCCTAAGTGTCCCCACTCAAGGGACCCATAAAAGACAACTCAGGAGGGAAGAGGAAGTTTTTGATGGCAAGGCAAGGGCTGCCACCACCTTCATCTGGAATTCTAGCTGCAGGCAGTATTTAGAAAGTATCGCTGGAGCTAAACATTTTTAAAAACATATTTAATACATAAGCCTAGTATAAACTCTAATAGGCCTGGAAAAAATGGTAATTTAAAAAGAGGTTCAGCCAGGCACAGTGGCTCGCTTCTATAATTCCAGCACTTTGGGAGGCTGAGGTGGGAGGATCGCTAAGAAACCAGGAGTTTGAAACTAGGTTGGGTAACATAGTGAGACTCTGTCTCTACAAAATAAAAATAAATTAGTCAGGTGTGTTGGTGGGTGTCTATAGTCCCAGCTACTTGGGAGGCTGAGACAAAGAGGATTGCTCAAGGCAGGGAGGTTGGGGCTGTAGTAAGCTGTGATCACACCACTGCACTCCAGCCTGGGCAACAGAGAAAGACTCTCTTTCAAAAAAAGAAAAGAAAAGAGATCTGAATAGGACTGTGTTAATTAGAGGGAGAAGCAGGAATGATAGGAAACAAATGAAAAAATTAACCGTGTGTTACTTCACAGAAGGACATGCATTTTATCAGGATAATTGTGGGCTGTCTCTTTGGAGTGGAAGAAGTAAAATAAATCAGTCTTGCATTTGTCCTCTGAAAAGTCTTCTCAGTATTCAACTGTGTCCTCAAATGGAGTCAGCCTAACCAAAATTCACAATGACTTCTTTTGACATTTTGCAGAAAGTAAATAAATAAATTATAAGTATGGCAAGTGAAATGAATAGTTCCAGCTGTGACACACCAGCAGCAATTCCAGATTTTGTGCTGCATTAAGGATTTATTTTCACTTTATTGCCTAGCAGAAAATTAATTGGAAGGTCCATCTAAGCTTCCCATGCATCTGTGGAATGAAGTCAAGGCAGTCTTTAATGCTCAGTGCCAAATTAGAAAAAATGAATACCAGTCAGTGGGTAGGTGGTCAGCTTATCAAACCTGGAAAGCTTGTCTCTGGGGACCAATGTCGCTAAAGCCAGACAAATGTGTCAGCACAATTAATGATGTAAAGAAAATGTGAGTATGAGCCTGGCAATTGGTTCATTGGATTCCTTCATTCAGCAAATATTAACTGAGCTCCTATTAAGTGCTAGACATTGTTCCATGCACAAAGGATATAAGGAAGAAAAAGACAACAACTTCAGCCTCCAGGGAGTGTATCACAACCTTTTCTAAGGAGAAAGACTAGGAACAAATGCACAGATAACTAATTTTAGAAGGTAGAGAGTGCTGGCAAGGAAACACAGCAGGGTAAGGGGAGAGCGTGCCTTTTGGTCAGTGATCAACTTTAGATGAGGGCCAGAGATCTGGGGAGGTACCCTTTGAAATGCACTGATCACATGAAAATCTTGAGGAAAAGCCTTCCAGACAAGAGGGGCCATAAAGGCCTTGAGATGGGCAAGAACTTGGCATATTTAAAGGTCAGAAAGAGCATCTGGGAGACTAGCCACCCCTAGAGGAGGGCATCTGGCAGAGTATGGAGCTGAAGTATTAGGCATAAGCCTGGTCATCTGCCATGACTTTGAGTCAGAATGAGTCAAAAGTGCAATGAGAATTCATCTGGGGGGCTAGATCAAAGATCTGGAAATTATCTAAGATATTTCGGATAGTAAGAATTTTTCCTAGTCTCTCTACCCCCTCCCCCACCTTTCTGTTGGAGTCTCACTGTCACCCAGGCTGGAGTGCAGTGGTATGCTCACAGTCACTGCAGTCTCTGGAACCACAGTGGCACACCACCATGCCCAGCTAATTTTATTGATTGATGGATGGATTGATTGTACAAACCAGGTCTCGCCAAGTTGTCCAGGCTAGTCTCTGACTCCTGGAATCCCTGGGCTCAGGCAGTCCTCTTGCCTCTGCCTCCCAAGGTGCTGGGATTAGAGGCGTGAGCCACTATGTCCGGCCATTTCTAGCATTTCTTTTTTTTTTTTTTTTTGAGTTGGAGTCTCACTCTGTCACCCAGACTGGAATGCAGTGGCCGCTCCCAGCCACCACAGCTTCCACCTGCTGGGCTCCGGCGATCCTTCCGCCTCAGCCTCCCAAGTAGCTGGAACTACAGGCATGCGCTACCACGCCCGGCTAACTTTTTGATTTATTGTAGAGATGAGGTCTCGCCAAGTTGCCCAGGCGGGTCTTGAACCCGCGGGCTCAGGCATTCCACTCACCTCAGCCGCCCAAAGCGTGGGATTACAGACTGAGCCACCGAGCCCGGCTTCCTGGCTTTTCTAATAGCATAAAACCCTAACCATGTACTTAACCTTTTTGGTGCCTCTGCTTATGTTTTTGGTGAATAAAGAGTGCTGCCACTGTTTGTCAGGTGCTGTGTCAGAGGCTGTGAATTGTGTCCTTTAAAACTCCCAACAGCCTCATGAGGGAGGCATGATCCACAGTTTATAGAGAAGAAAACTGAAGCTTCAAGCTGTGTCCATAAACTGCCCCTCTGTCTTGCTGTAGTGTACCTGAGAAGATGGTATTGTTTTAAGACATGGTGTTTTGGGGTACACCCAAAGCTATGGAAGACCTCAACAGAGGGCCACTCTCTGGGAGGCTGTGGATCCCTTGTGGCTGACAGTCCAGGCAGCTAGGACAATTGTGCACCCTTTACTATGGGAAGCTTGGAGCTTTTGGAGAACACCGAGTTCAGAACCAGAATACCTAGTCAATACCAAAAATTCTGAAATGGACATGACATATGACCTTGAAGGCCAACCACCTATAGGTTTGGTATCTTTGTTAGAGAGACAGAATGCTACTTCCTCAACGTCTTTTTCTTGGGGGGCAGGGGGAGGCGGAGCTCAAGGATGACTTAGGACTGTCTTAATTCCTGGTCTTTATCCTCAGGGGGTTTGAAAAGAGACCAGGAATATATAATAGATGCTATAAGCTCCTTTAAAAAAAAGCCACCTAAATATAATATATATGGTGTGACTTAACCAGCAAGTGTTATTCACACCTCTCTCCCTCCCCCCCACTTCCCCCAGATAGAGTCGGCTTCTTAACCAAGGTGATGGCTAGGTGGGAGTGAACACTAGGAAGACCCTGGTGGAAAAGGGCTGGGCCTGGGAGGGCTGACTGTCGGGTTTGTCCCTCCTGCTCATTAGACATACTGAAGGGGTGGAGGCCTCTAGTTCAGAATGTTTCCGTTGCCCGGCAGAGCCCTGGGTCCACCCCCTCCTGGAGCCACAGATGGCCGCGGCAAAGGACAGGTGCAGTCACTCCGGTCTTCCCTGCGGCTTCAGCCTGGATACGAACACCATGCCCTCTTTGGTGCCCAGCGCCACTGGGGCAAGGACAG